AAGAATCATTTAACTTCAAAAATTAAAATGAATAAAAAGTAGGAAATAAAGCCTCATAACTTTATGTAATTTAATTTTGTAAACAAAGTTTTTTGACAAAAATTTATATAAAAAAAAAATTTAAGTTTCAATAAAAATCATTATTTAGAAACTAAAAAACGTAAATTAAAGAATGCTTACGAAACAAAAAAAAAATTCTTTTTTGTCGCCATTTTTTAGTGCTACGAAAATGCTTCTTTGGGATTTGCCAAAAACAAAACAAGATGCAATTTCATTTTCTCAGAAGCGAAATATTTTACCGAAAAAACGAAAATTTACCAATTCTCATAACATGAAACTTTATCTTAGTAAATGTACGTTTTGGAAATATTATTTTATTTGAAAACTTATTTATTATAGTTCATATGGCGACAGCATCTGGTAGGTGAAAGAGAATAGAGTTTGTTTTGAATCTATGCTAAACTCTATATCTGCCCATTTTCCACCGAAATCCAAATGATTACTTTGATTATAAATAAAGTGTTTTATTTTATGATTTGTCGCAAAAATTTTAAGTGTAGATTGGCGGCACTTAAAAACCGCCAAATCTGTAGCTGCGGTTTCGTTAATACGTAAGTACCGAATTTTTATTCTATATTCTTCTGCATCATATTACTTCCAACATTAGAATATGCAAGAAGTATACATTAACACATAATGTTACACCAATTAATTTTTCAAGAAAAAGTATTTTAACAACAATTTTTATCAAAAAATTATAAACTAAAAACGTAAAATAAAGAATTCTTAGGATAAAAAAAAACGATTTTAAAAATTCCTCATATTGAAATAAAAAAACCTCCATATTGTTTCTCTTTTTATTCTTATATTTCTTAATCAGATGTAAAAAAGCATTCTGTAGAGAACTATCATTAAATGAGAAAAAAAATAGTTACAAGCAAATTTTTTATTACAAAAATCATAACACTTACCTGATTTATAATTTCGGAGAATTCCGAAATGATATGTTCTTTGTTTGAAAACTTTATTCTCAAATAATAGATACATAGTTTATCCCTTCATTACTTTTAGATAACATACTACACAGCAAAATTTTATAGTTGTATGATCTTGATATGAATTTGAATATGTAGCCAAAAACAGAATAGCTGAATTCTAGTTGAAATTATTCTATCAAAACTAAAAAACACTTACCAAGAAAACGATAAAAAACATTTTAATAATCATCACAAATGATACTATTTCAAGTAGTTCGGATGATTCTTTAGTGTTGTTTTCCGAATTATATAGATACAGAAATATCTACTATTCTATAAAGTCGAAGAATATTCTTTAACTATTACACAGTTCTGTGTACGTTCTGAATTCGCATTTATTCATTGGAATGACGAAAGCAATGTTGACTTTAGTTTAATTTGTAATGGGGGGTGCACTTGGGGTTTGTCCCATTGGCCACAGAAAAGCCAGAATTGCTACTCTCTTCTCGTTACCCAGTGGGCACCGGTGGCGAAGCCACAGCGGTGGAGCAGCGTCGCCCACGTCACACAACCACAAACCCGTTTATAGGGGGGGTCACATTCACACACAAAGAGGAAAGAACATAGAACACAGAGAGAGAACGAAACATCCATGCCCTCAGCAGGATTCGAACCCGCGGCCAATAGTTCCGCAGTCAGACACGCTAACCACTCGGCCACTGGGTTGGCAGTGTAAAATGGTTTCAGTTACATAAACACAATAAAGTTGAATAGTATCACCTGATAATTGTGATTTTACATAGAATCTTAGAGTGCGTCTCATAATATATAGCCAGTGACTGTATATCTGAAATAGCTATTGTGTGTAGAGTATAAAAATTCAATATTTAGTGCTTAGTATCTTAAGTGGTATTCTGTGTACACTATGTAAACTAAAATAACATTCTAGATTTCTCAGTACAAATATGTAACAGTGTTTTTTAATTTGGGAAAATTATTTTACATTTGGAATACTGCTCTATGTTTGTTCACTTCTTAAAAGATAGCCTTTACATTAAGTAACGATGTCTCCGAAGCATTGAGTGTCACGGATAAATAAGGAAATGTCGCCTAATGAAGGAAGTGTGAGATTCCAAAATATATCCATTGAATTAAATAGTTGTTGTCAGTCACTCAACCTTAGCCTCAGAAAGTGTTTTACCTTCTTTCTTTTGAAAATGAACTTTTGCTTTTCAATCAATGAATGAGAAGAAAATATTTCATTTAAAATGTCAAAAATTTGCTCTATATTAGATTACTATTATCTATATTGGGTTTCTTTCTATAAAAGTATATATAAGGTACTTATAACCATTATGAATGATTTTAATTAACTTTTATACAGTCGCTTGCCATATTATGAGACGCACTCTAAGATTCGATCTAAAATCTTAATTATGCAGGTGATACTCTATAACAGCTTTATTGTTTTGACGAGACTGTTTGCACTTGTTTACGAGAGTGTGTCAATGGGTTCAATTTTAGACGATATATAATGTTAATTCGACGATTGGATGAATGAGACGATATATTACATAAACATAGAATATTTATTATATCAAGCATTATATTAGAATATTGTAATTATTAGATCAAATTATGAGACGCACTGTAGTGTTATTTTAATAATGACATGCATTGCACGAGTGTATAGGCAATACTTTTATATTTAAACATGCATGTCATGGGTTTTTATGCTGGAGATTTTTTTAGATACTTCCTATTTGCATTACTATATTATTTTTGCTAACGCATTGAATTACAATGTGAACCCATTGATGACGTTAACAAGTGCAAATCGGTTTAATCCGCGTTAAAACAATAAAGCTGTATACAGGGTGTCTCAGCTAAGCGTTTCAGAACTTCTAAGAGGGAGAGGGGACATCTTGACGACTCGAAGTCATATAGCAATGTGGGGTCGGAAATGCTTTCCTGAAGCAGTGACGTACACAGAAGCACCATAAAGAAAAGAGNTAAATATAGAATATTTATTATATCAGGTATTATATGAGTATATTATAATAATTAGATCCAATGATGATAAGCACTTTAGTGTTTTAATAATGACATGTTTTACACGAGTGTATAGGCCATACTTTTATATTTAACCATGCATGTCATGGGTTTTTATGCGGGATATTTTTTTAGATACTTCCTATTTGCATTACTATATTATTTTTGTTAACGTATTGAATTACAATGTGAACCCATTGATGACGTTAACAAGTGCAAATCGGTTTCATCCGAGTAAAAAAAATAAAGCTGTATAGAGTATCACCTTATCATTAAGATTTTACATAGAACACTATAGTGAAGTCTAATAATTATGGCCGCAGGGAGTGTAGGTCAGAATCTCCCGGGGAGAACCAAACCGTTTTTATAAATGCTGAGATTGTGTTATTTCTTCAATATATTGGACGTGTATCAGCGAACATGAATCAGTTGAGAGCGAACATTCGTGCCAGTTCAAAAAACCGAACGAAAGACAACGTTTTACACACAAAAAATAATTTATTCATCCGTAATGTATCTCTTTCTATAGATGTCTTTGAAGCTTTTAAGCATAGTATTTGAATTACGTTTTATGCAGAAATCGCGTGTTTATTCTCTAAAAGAGATTTTTCTTTGTTGATAAGTATGATCATCTGATCCTTTTTATGCCTCATAGTATTTGTCGAGCAGAGAATGATCCCATTGAACAAGTAAAGACGTTTTATTCGGATTTCAAAATTAACCACTTCCCTTATCAATTATTTTGAACAAAAAATTTCGAAAATTCAACATATTGTTTTAATTTCATTCATAAATACAAGGAACTGAAACAAAGCACAATACACAGGTTCCAAGTTGAAATTTGATTTTTTTTAATAGTAAGAGAGATTCAATTTAAAATCAGTTTACTATCCCCAGTTATCTCGGGCAAAATGAAACAAAGTTAAATATGAGTCTTTGTAGGATAGTTCTTAAAACACAAAGTGATATTTTTCAAACGTCAGTGAAGGAATACGGCATTTTTTTCTACTCTTTTCTCAATGTAAATTCATCAACCATTGTATATACAATGGGTACAAGAGACGAGTGCAGTCCAACAGCAAGACTCACAAATAAAACTTGGCAGACTTCCAATCACAGCAGATTATGTTGTTTGCTTCCGGCCGAGTAAAAACGCGATAAAATAAAATGCATCGACAAATAATCTGCCAAGCCCGAGTTTTCTCGGGATGAAAAATATTTGCAATGTATACGTACCCGAGTAAACTCGGGATAATTAGGTGAAGTTAAATGAATTTCTCTCAGTACTTCTCCACACACATTTCTTCTACTACCGGGGGCGCATATCAAGATTTTTTATGCATGCAACAGCAGTAGGGCACGAATTTTCGAATAGAATTTCAATGCAGAATATTTTGAAGCAAGTCGTTCTACGTAGGGGCAACCAATGTACATACAGCGAAGTTTATTATACCCATTTTGTCTTTCCCGCGTTGCTTTTACGCATCAGATTAGCAGTGATAATAGTATTTTAACAAGCGGTTTCAAATCATGAAAATAAAAGTAAACAGCTGTTAGTAAAAAAAAACATGCGCAGTGATTATTAATTATTAGACAAAACTTAATATTTCAAACATACTTTCTCAGTTTTATTATGAAATGCCAAATGCATTGCACGTTAGTGAATCTATGAAAAATAAATTAAGCACTATGTTTTGAAGGTGCAGTATTAGCATTTATGCACGAATCCATGGGACATTAGCTAATCTTAAAAGCATCAGTGACTTTAGTGTGGTTACGGCTATATCAAAAAATTTTTATTATCTTTGAGTAAGAGACTCGGGTAGTCGACATCCTTTATTTTGTATCAAGCGCGCAAATGTCTCAATCATTCATTTATTATTAATCATTGTTGGTGTTATTCATCTGTAATGGTAGAGTCATTTTTTGAAGTGGCATGCTTAACATATTTCATGAATTGTGCTTTTTCAGGTCCGTCATGTGACCCAAAGACAGAATTTGCATGCAGAGGAGATTCTCCATCTTGCATAGCATTATCGAGGGTCCGAGATGGTTCTCCCGATTGTCCAGACGGATCAGATGAAGGTCAGTTCACATCATTTTGTAATCTCTCCATCATATAATATTTTGTAACCATCCACTCACTGAGGTGCAATTATAGAAATTAATGAACGGATGTACAGTCCCTGTGGCCACTCTATTAGACTCGCACTCCAAGATTCTGTGTAAAATCTTAATTATCAGGTGATACTCTATACAGGCTTTATTGTTCTTACGAGACTGTTTGCACTAGTTTACGAGAGTGCATCAGTCGGTTCAGTGAGACGATATATAATATAAATTTGACGATAGGATAAATGAGACGATATATTATATAAATACTGAATATTTATTATATCAGGTATTATGTTAGTATATTATAATAATTAGAACAAATTATTAGACGCACTGCAGTGTTTTAATAATGGCATGTTTTGCACGAGTTGATAGGCAATACCTTTATAGTTAAACACACATGTCATGGGTTTTTATTCCGATTATTTTTTTATACACTTCCTATGTGTATTTATTTTTAACATATTGCATTACAATGTTAACTAATTGTTGCACGAACATAAACAAGTGTAAGCCGGTATCAGCCACGTAAAAACAATAAAGCTGTATAGAGGAGTATCACCAGAAGATTAAGATTTTTCGTCAAATCTTAGATTTGCGTCTCATAATATGATCAGGAACTGTATTGACAAAAAAACATCTTCACACAATGTTGTCCACTGTTTTCATTCAAAGGAATATTTCATGTTTTTGCTATGGATTCTTCTACTTCTATAACTAATTTTCTTTGGTTTTTATTCAGTTCGGTATTGGGGAAAAGTTTCTAAAATTCACTTAGTTAGTCTTTATGGTTGATATGGTAAAAACATTATTGCTGGTTTTATACGTTTCTTTTTACTGCTTGTTTCACCATAACTATAATATTAAAAAATTTTGATGGAATGAATTCGGTTTTGAAATCATCATTTCGGTTCACCAAAATTATAATATAAACAATTTTGATGGAATGAATTCAGTTTTGAAATCATCATTGTTGAAATATTGTGGCATTTATCGGGAGTCCATCCCGAAAGAAAAAGCATTTGAACCATGGGTAACCAGTGATCATAATAATAAGGCGATCACAACTTTTTTTGTTGATTTTTAATTTATTTTTTTTACTTTGATCACGGTAAATTTCAATTAAAGTCAGAAAGTCATTCTAGATTTATCTGAAAGCATTATTATATACTTGTTTCCGTGATCTTTAAAGTTAATATTTTTACAAATTTAATTCATTTTCTATCCACAAATTTAATTCACAGCACCCATCTAATTTATAGTTAAGTAGAAAAGGAATAATTCCTGCAATGTTCACTATTTCTGCTTCCCTACGATATTTAGACAGAAATAAAATTTAAAGACAAAAGTGTCTGTATTATGACAGGGAATTTTGAAGGTCTGAATATGCAGGTTTATCTTACGCGTTTCGTGTCTAAAACAAGTTTGTTCTTAGTTTCCTTACGACATGGAAATGCGACACTGTTCCATAAACGGCAAATCAAATGAGTAAGACCTATCATTGTTTCAAGCAATTAAAATCATTCGCTTAAAACTATCATTTATTATCCCATTACAGCAAGAGATGCTTTCTGAATATAAATGACTCAAATTTCAAACATTTTCCCCATTCTTACTTAATAGAAGATTTGTCGTTCTCCTTAAATCGGATCGCATTTCCTGATTAATTTAATTCAGCACTCAACCATCAAACGTGGACAAAGCACTGCATAAAATACGATCGAGATTTGATCCCTATCTCAACGTACGTTGTATTTTAAGCTTCGTAAAAATACAATAATTTCCGATCGTACCGTTTTACTGATCGTTTTTTGAAACGGTGCAAAAGAGGAAATAACGAGATGAAATGGAGCATATCATTCGAGGCTTATGTCTTTAATCGTAATCGCTTGAAACATTTTGAAAATTGCTCTCTTAAACGGAAGAAGTATTACATACTTATTTGCTACATTTTTTAGGTTGATTATGGAAATTTGAAGAAAAATACAATAATGCTCGTATTTATTTTTGACGAAAATGTATCTGTGGTTTGGCTATAAACATATTTGTATATAGAATATTTATCTGTCTCAGTATATACTTTAAACGATAACGACTTTATTATGCTTTTCTTTTTAATGGGTTTATTTACTTTTTTTTTCTTTTAGCAGAAAAGAGTTATTGTTTATAAATGAAATGCGGGACATTCCGAACGAAATATTTATTTTGTTTTCACCGAATATTTTAAGGAATGGCATTTTGCGTTGAATTTTTTGTTAATAGTGAGAGAACAAAATGTAAATACGATAGTAGGTATTAACTTTTGTACGAAAGCGTATTATTATTATTACTTGCAAGAAAAGGACGAGAAATGATCAGAAGATGTACGGCCATCTTCTGCAAATACAAACACCATTGAAAAGCTCTATTTTCATAAGTGGCGGTAACGGTAAAGGTTCGCGTTGGGTCAAGGAAAGAGAACAACAATGGAGTGTTATTTTCTCTGGAAATACAAAAAAAATAATTAAAAAAAAAAATAATTACAATTTTTTACATCATACAAAACTAAAATTAATCAATTAAATTTAATGAATGAATTAGTATTTGAAAAAATTGTATTAACATCAAGTGTCATCCACCACAATTTTAAAAAAGAAATCAATAAAAAAGTTGTGATCGCCTTAGTACGATCACTGGTTAACCCATGGGTGCAAATGCTTTTTTCTTTCTGGAATGGACTCCGTTAAACATTTCAAATCATGGGTCGCACAAACTGTTTCCATGGATGTTCATATCCTTGCCTATGTACGTGTTTCACAAAATACTTTTCCTTCTTCAGCATTCTTTATTTATCTTAAAATCTACCGTCAATCACAGTCATTATACGTTAACAATAAAAAAAGAATATAAAAATACTTTAAATTATTATGATGTAAATACATTAAAAATGTCCGCTAGTGAAAAGAAAAACAGCAGCGGTCGTCATAGCGACGCAGTTGAAAAGTGTGTGGACGTCATCAAATCCAAACCAAGACCCATTTTGTCAATGGGTAAAAAAAAGGTTGAAGGGCTACATAACGACGTTACATAAGTACATAGGTATGAGGGCTACATAAATGCGGAGAGTAGTTGAAGGTCATGAAGGGAGTCAAACGCTATCTTGGGCCCCTTGCATTCGTTCATTTTTCATCGTCGAGTTGTTGTTTTTGTTGACGTATGCCTGTTTAGGCTGAGGTTGTGCGATTGTTCTTGTTTTCCAGTGGCGCCATCTATGGCCAAGAATTCGACTTCTGCCACACCATACGTCATACCCGTTTATAGGGCGGACCCATTCATTCATCCACAGATCGTAATTTTGACCTAAATCAGAGAACGATCGATCTCCAATCCAGTACCCCCAGAGGTTTTGATTTGTTATGGGAACATGGAGGACTTCTGCGACTCGACAGATTTAACGTGCATCAGTCACTTTACTGAAGTGACGGTCTTCGGCCGGCGGGGTTCGAACCCACGAACTCTCGGACATGGGCCCAGCACCCTACCGACCAGGCTATGCCAGCCCCAACTGTGTTTTTTTTTTAAATTTCAAGCAATTTTTTTTTCAAGTTAAGTTCATAAGCAATTGCTTCAATGCTATGATCCATTTCAGTAGGTAAAAGTATGAAAACATCCCTCCACCTTTCCAAGCAATAATGGTCCTTGAAGTCAATTTAATTTCAGGTAATAATATAAATAAAATGTTTTTATATAAATCAAACTCAATCCCAAAACTATTTTTGCATAACATTACTAGAAAAAAAAATGGCACGATGAAGGATTCCGTTAAAAATAAATAAATAAAACATCATATTGTAAAAAAATAAATAATAAATTTATAAAAATGCGCTTGTTTATATCTTTCAAATCTTTCTTTTTCTATGAAGATTCCTACGAAAAATTCCTTTTCTTTAATATTCTAAATATTCTTAACAATACAAAAAGTGAACAAGTTTCTCTAAGAGTGAATAGAAATCAGAATAACTAGGTGTTGTCTTTTATGCATCAACTGAAGATGGGCTTTTTTCTTCACAACCCATATTTTGTTATTCAGTTGATATTATTCCAAATGCTACTTCTTTTATTATCTATATTATATTGTTGTAAAAAACGATTAATTCTAAAAATACTTTTTTAAATTTTATTTATTTTTTGACGAAATATAAAAATCAAAGCAAACCTATAAGCTAATGAGCCTAAACGTATATTACTTAAGTACCTGAATCTAAAAACTTCGCATCGACATGAAGGATTTAAAAAAAGGAAATATTTTCTGCTTGCATATTATTTAAAAATTCAATACTTGAAATAAGACAAGGGCGTCTTATTTCAAATTGTTTGAAGAAAAAAAAACAAGTAAAAGTTAACAAACCGCTCGAAACATGAACTGATATTTAAATTCTACAACGATTAAGCGTATCGTTAATTTTGCATTGGAATTTTTTTGATTTACTAAAAGTATTCATCAACCAGTTTTTATAATTTAAAGGAATCAATACGAAAAATTAGTACTTTTAAAATCAGAAGAATCATATAAAAGCAATTTAGAGGTTTTATTGGATTCATTGTATCAACTTTTATAAAATTCATTTTTCAAGTTTTTGCTAGATTATATTAAAATATTTTTTAATTAATGTATCATTGAAATATTTTTTTAATATAAAAGTTAAGCATTCACTTATTTTCATAAAATAAAAACAAAATAAATAAAATAAATAAATCTAATCGTAAATAAAAATTTGTGCGAAACCTCTTTCGTTGTATAAAATAAGTATTAATGCATTTTTAATAGTGTTTTTTTCTGCAACAATATTGCTTATCTAATTTAAAGATATTCAGCAATACGAAAGCATTTTTGTAGCCTTCACATAAAGTAATTGCACTCAACCTCTAGTAAAGAAAAACCCAATAGTTTTAAAAAATATTTAGGTTCAAAATAAATAAATAAAATGAAA